GCGCAAATGCGGCGCAATTGAGTGCGCCACAGTTTCTGCTGCGAGGCTCCACTAGCTGTAATCGGCTTGGTGTGTCCGGGGTTTACAACACCACCACCACCCCCAGTCGACGCTCGCGAGGGCCTCATCACATCACAGCCCTGCCGATGTGATATAATGTATAGGACCTTTTTCCTCATGGGTGTCATTCAACAGACCAAACATGACAGTTTTAGAGAATGAGTTTGTATGGATACACTTAAAACATATTTGTATTTGTCTTGGCTTCAGCTCACTGATAACATAAGAACACAAATAGGCACGGCACTTACATAGATGTTTTTTTAAATATGTATTTTATTACTCCAATGTAGAAAAACAAAAGTCAGGCATATTTAATTAGGAAAGTTTTCCTTTGGCTCCCAGGAATGTTTCCACTTCGCCCCACTGTAAAACAGAAACACAGCAAAAAGTATTACTTTTTTTCAACTGTTTGGAATATGTAGTTCTACAGTATGTTGACAATGCTATTTCAAATGAGAAGATACACTAAGTCACTTAAAAATATCGTGATGAAAGTGCAGTATAATATATATATTTATATATACAGGGTTCTTACACCTTTTCCAAAGTCAAATTCAAGCACTTTTCAAGCATTTCAAGGTGCATTTTCCAGCTTTTCAAGCATCTTACAGCTGTTGTAAATTACATATTTATATACACATACTCAAATGATTATTTCCCTACCTCACATTAAATCAGATGTTCTTTATGCTATAAACAACCAAATGTGTGTTTCGTGATAGCATTCTACACGAGGATGAAACATTAAAGAAAAGAAAAGTAAGTTTAATATTTCAAAATGAGTGATCTGTACGTAGACTGGGCCTCCCATATAACCTGGCTGAGCCAATATAAAACAATCAGCCAAATAACTTTTCAATACATTATGATTACTATTTTTGAGGTACTTTTAGGTTGGCAGTAGTAAACATAAGTCAGAAGGTAATGGTGTACTTCTACTCCACTACATGTATTTAATACCTTCAGTTACTTCACAGATGAATGATGTGAAATCTAATCAAGTGTTGAATCAGACTTTAGTTCCACCTGGAGTAAATCCACCAGCTACCCTGCAGTATACAAAGCCATTCAAACTAGCTGCACCTTTACCAGCTTTGAGAACACTTTCATGATCAATCATTATAAAACATATCATATATATTATTCTGAAATGGACCAATCTGCACAACGACTACTTTTACTGTCGCTACTTTCACTATATTTTGATGAGAATACTTTTCTACTTTCACTTGAGGAACATTTTGAATGCAGGACTTTTACTGTAACAGAGTATTCCTACACTCTGGTACTTCTACTTTTAAGTAGAAGTACAATACCTGAGTACTTACTTTTACTCAAGAACAAGATCTGAGTACTTCTACTTTTACTCAAGAACAAGATCTGAGTACTTCTACTTTTACTCAAGTACAAGATCTGAGTACTTCTACTTTTACTCAAGTAAACAACTGCCTCCAAGACAGCACACAGCAATAATACTACTTACTAACTATACTAATAGTATAATTGTTAAGAACAAATGTAACAAGTAAGTAATTACAAAAGAGATCAAATACCATCCAGCATCACATATCAATCATTTAACCTTTAGTGATATTGATCAAGGATAAACTCAGTTGTATATTGTATTTTAATTTCTATTCCAATGTAAGCTACTTCCCTGCTTATGTGTTACGAACCAGACAGCGTTTCTAGGGCGCCAATTTTCATTTCATTTCAAACCCTTTATTTAACCAGATTGGTCCCATTGAGATCATAGATCTCTTTTTTCAAGGGAGGACCTGCGATGTCTGAATGACGAAGGGCAGAGAACTTGGATGTCTTACTTTATGGCACAATCGCTGTCTGATAGAGCCATTGATGACATGGCTCCCCACCCCCATGTGATCAACTAAATTGAATTTACTGCTGAGGAACCCAAAATGTTTAAGTTAGTGATCTCAGGGTTGATGAAGTTGGTTGGTAAGACTACTTTCTGGCCCCTGTTCTGCCAGCCCCATCAGCTACACTGAAGGAAACTTCAGATTAGATACATACCATCCAGAGCAAGACTGCCACTGCACCAACAGCTCGGCATGGCCCTGAGTAAAGAAAGACAGATTTTAGGTAAACTTAATTTTTTTTCAAATGTCATATATGTAAATACGAAAAGTCCAGAGAAATCAAATGATCATTTGAAATAATAGTAGGTACGATTAACTCAAACATATGAAGGACTGTAACATAGTCAATAGCATTTTCCCCATCAGTTTAATATTTTGGAATACTATTATTATTTAAAAAGATATTTTCACTGCCAAGAATAGGAATTCACCTACAAATGATTACAAGAAAACATGTAATATACAAATAAATGGCTGGACATGATGCATTAATGCGACATGAAGCATTACACAAGTACCTCAACCTTAAATTAATAATAATGTATTGTTACTGTCATTTCAATATTTAGATTAGCAGTCATGCTTAAGACTGAAACACTCCTTTTAAACAAAGTATACGAAAATCCAATAAGATAAGATAAGACTTGGTTCCACGGAAGCATTATTGTCAGTTTATTTCTTATTTTAAAATATTTTCTAAACAAACCTCCCTGATTCTTTCCCTCAGTAGTTTTTTGTAGGGGAAAGTGGCTGACCCTTGATGAATGGGACATTCTGCAAGGAATTAAAAGATGGTAATAAGTTGAAGTTCAGCAATAACCTCCTAAACATTGCCTAACATCACATTGTGCTCAATTAAACTGTTCAAAATGGCACTGAGACTTTTGATACTGCAAAGTCTTAAACAAAACAAAAGGTGGCGTATTCTAATTGTACCGATGATTGTTTTCTCTCTCTTTAACTAATTCAATGTGCAAAATCAAACACAGTTTCAGTCTATGTAAATAAGATAATTACTAATTAACCCGCACATACCATTAATTGCCACTTTATTCCTCGTTGGTCTTCTTTTCTGTGAGGAAGATACTGATGACACAGGAGGAGTCAGGCCGGAGGAGAGAGGAGGAGTCAGAGGGAGGAGTCAGGCCGGAGGAGAGGAGGAGTCAGGCCGGAGGAGAGAGGAGGAGTCAGGCCGGAGGAGAGAGGAGGAGTCAGGCCGGAGGAGAGGAGGAGTCAGGCCGGAGGAGAGAGGAGGAGTCAGGCCGGAGGAGGAGAGAGGAGTCAGGCCGGAGGAGAGAGGAGGAGTCAGGCCGGAGGAGAGAGGAGGAGTCAGGCCGGAGGAGAGAGGAGGAGTCAGGCCGGAGGAGAGGAGAGGAGACAGGCCGGAGGAGAGGAGGAGTCAGGCCGGAGGAGAGAGCAGGAGTCAGGCCGGAGGAGAGAGGAGGAGTCAGGCCGGAGGAGAGAGCAGGAGTCAGGCCGGAGGAGAGAGCAGGAGTCAGGCCGGAGGAGAGAGGAGGAGTCAGGCCGGAGGAGAGAGCAGGAGTCAGGCCGGAGGAGAGGAGTCAGGAGGAGAGAGCAGGAGTCAGGCCGGAGGAGAGAGCAGGAGTCAGGCCGGAGGAGAGAGCAGGAGTCAGGCCGGAGGAGAGAGCAGGAGTCAGGCCGGAGGAGAGAGCAGGAGGCAGGCCGGAGGAGAGAGGAGGAGTCAGGCCGGAGGAGAGAGCAGGAGTCAGGCCAGGAGAGAGGAGGAGTCAGGCCGGAGGAGAGAGCAGGAGTCAGGCCGGAGGAAGAGAGGAGTCAGGCCGGAGGAGAGAGGAGAGTCAGGCCGGAGGAGAGAGAGGAGTCAGGCCGGAGGAGAGAGCAGGAGTCAGGCCGGAGGAGAGAGGAGCAGGAGTCAGGCCGGAGGAGAGCAGGAGTCAGGCCGGAGGAGAGAGCAGGAGTCAGGCCGGAGGAGAGAGCAGGAGTCAGGCCGGAGGAGAGAGGGAGTCAGGCCGGAGGAGAGAGGAGTCAGGCCGGAGGAGAGAGCAGGAGTCAGGCCGGAGGAGAGAGCAGGAGTCAGGCCGGAGGAGAGAGCAGGAGTCAGGCCGGAGGAGAGAGGAGGAGTCAGGAGGAGGAGAGAGCAGGAGTCAGGCCGGAGGAGAGAGGAGGAGTCAGGCCGGAGGAGAGAGGAGGAGTCAGGCCGGAGGAGAGAGGTACAGACAAGGAATCTGATCCTGGGTCTGTGGCCATTTCTGCCTGTGGTTCAACTGCCAAAGTCACTTTTGAGAAGAAAAAAAAGTAGAGGCATGGTGAATAAATGACCAAGTATAATCCATATACATTTATAATCTGAGTAATTACAGCTAAAAATGAAACTACAAATATTGATTGTTTTTTATGAATCAAGCATTTAAGACTTCAATGTTAGGATGAGAAAACCAGTGCAGCAATCCACCAATAGTTGTGCTGCTAAGCTTTTACGAAAAACATAGTCCCACAAAACGTAATGTTATTATTAGTATTGTTATCAGTATATAAGTAAGGGTGATTATTAGTTGATTCATTGTCAACTTTAAAATGATTGACCAGCTGTTTCTAGAATTGCTTATTGTTTTGAGTAATCCTTTCAGTAAAAACATGTCATAATTAGATTCTCACATGTGAACAATTTCTTTGTATTTTCCTTCTAGTTTAAAAGGTCCCATGTCATGGCCATTTCTACTGATCATAATTCCATTGTTGAGGTCGACTAGAATAGATTTATATTGATCAATGTTCCGAACTCACATTGGTTTCTCATACAGCGTCTCTGTGTATTCCCTCTCTGTCCTAAACACTATATCACTATACTCAGGAAGTAAACAATGGAAAAAGAGAAATGTCCAACGAGGCGTTCTGGGGCAGCACAGACAGGTCTTCTCTGTGTTAGAGTTTTACTCGCTACAGGGTGTACTTTGAGGGTTTTTGACTCTGCAGACCGTTTACATGCAGAAAAAGCTACATAACACAAGGGGACGGGTGATAACCGGAAAAGCATGACATGGGACCTTTAACTGACAAAACAAGACATAACGACATATTTGTACTACTTGGTAAACAGTGATTCACATGTTTTTTTAAAACAAAATAACTGAGCAATTAATTTACAAAAAATGTTAAGCGATAAATTGCTTTTGACTTTTGGCTTAAAATATAGCATGTGGATTTTTATACTTTACCATTAAGAAGGCTTTCGTAAATCCTCTTTATGGTAACAAGTGCATTGTTACCATCTTCTGTCTCAATTTGCCATGGACAGAGGCAATCGGCCGCAAAACCATTTGTGCCTCTCTTGGCAAGAAGGAGGATGGGATGCCGCTCAAGAAGTTTCCATTTGTGGAGCTGGAACACAAAAAAAACAAGAAATATTGTTTACATAACAGCTCTAAACATGTTCACACACCTAAAGCTTTTACAACTCCATTTATTTTTGCACAAGTGAAAAATGCACTGATGTGATACGTATGCACATTGAGGAAGGCACCCCACCATTAACCAGGTGTGATTTTAGACCCATTTTAGGGGAGCCCCAAAAAACACCATGAAAAAAAGCTCAGGTTCACTTTTTGAGTTTTGTTTACATGGTATTTACATGGTTATTTTTATATGGGTCTATTTAACTCTCACATTCAGATATCTGAATAAGCTACATTTAGCTTTGAAATATGTCAGCAAGCTATAACCTATGTCATTTCAGGTTCAAAGTTCTGCATTAACTCAAAATATTGATGACTAAAGCACTTCAGATGAACACGGCTCAAAGTCAGAGACTCTGGTAAGCTAAATTAAAGTGCTTTTAAGGGCCTCTTTATTAATACAAACTCTTTCCAGGACTTGATTGTCTTTCAAGCACTATATTAATATTGGCTGGTTTTGGGCAGAGTTGAGCCAATGTTAATATATCTATATTCAGCCCAAACATTTTGTATATTTATTTATTTTTAATTTATTATTTAGATCTTTACATTTGATTCTGTGACATTCTTGGTTTTACCATTTATTCAAAATGTGTATGATATTTCATTTATTTTACTTTTGGAAACCATAGTCACATAATTCTGTGTTTGCCAACTGACATCTGCAAGAAAAAAAAATGTACCAGTAGATTTGTTGAGTCATACACTTTGTTGACACTGTGGTTTTTTTGTTGCGTGGCCTTCCACTCCTGTGCAACCTTTTCCTTTTGCTTGGATAGTTTCTCCTTGTAGGGTTGGTTGGCACCACATTGCCTGCATTTCCTGCTGGCTACTCCTATTTTGTGTTTGCAAGTCTGGCACACTTTTTGAGTAGGCATCTGTAACAGAAACACAGATAAGGGAATAAAACAAATAAGAATACTATACTACAAATGTTTACAGGATTCATGTATTTTATTATATCGTGAAAAATCTTGTTAAAACAATGAACTCGTGTTTTTTTTATCTTTTAGATAGGATGAACAAAAATCACAAGAGTAAGGGAAAAAAATGGTTATACAGAGTCAGTCACATGTTTAAAGTGACTGTTATCGACAACCCTAATCTGTCAATATCTGGTTGATCCAAAAGTTGATGCTCCATCATCACAGAACTAATACTAAAATCATCATTACCAGGGGTGTATTGCTAACTCTATAAGTTCTGCATGCGTGCACGCGCAGTTGTGGCTCGTTTTGAAGCTTATGTAACTACTGTCAATTAACACTCCAGCCAGAATCAACAAAGAATGGTCGTTTATTAAGTCTGCATTATTGAATAAATGTGGATTCTTACAGTAAATGCTGGACACAGCTGCTTGATAGTTTATAAAGTTCCTTCACTGATCACTTAACTAACTCCCTCCTGCTGAGGTACAAAGGTTACTATATAAAAAGTGTGCACATTTATTTAGTATCCTATCCATGTGAATATGTTTTAAGTGGGGGTGGATCTCACGTCCTCTAGGGGGGTCCTGAGGCCCCCGGGAAGTTAAATGCATCAATCTTGTGCACTTTGAGGGCAAAATTAACTAAATCTATGGATACATCTGTCAACACCCATATGAAACTTAACTGTATACATTTCAATAATTAAAAAAAGATAAGAATAATACTTTTTTTTATTTATCTTTGTGCATATGTAACTATATACTCTTTAAAAAAAAAAGTATTATATATGTATTTGTTGTATGTCCAATAGCATGAATTGTAATGATTTCATCGATGTTTTACATTCATTCGATTTTCTTTAGGGTGCTGCGTGACGTTGAACCTGCGACATACAACCTGTGACCTATGAACCTGTATTTGTATGCTACCAATGGAGCTATTGAACCTAAGAACTTGAGGCCTGTTTCCGACTCCTATTGTGGAACATAATACAATAATATAAAAGTGTGCCTTGGAAATATGTGTTTCCATATATGGTGACCAAACTGTTTCAGACCCACTGAGATAACTTAGACTAAAGTTAACTGTGTAAACATTACATTACCTACATTAGCCTCTCAGCCTATCCGTTATCATAGCTAGCTAGCACCAGATGCTAACAACCATCCCCATTTTAGGTGCCGGAGCGGTGTTCCGGCAGCATTATACCCCTGATGACTCTTCACTTAATACATAAATAGTATTTAATATAGTTATAAAGAATGTGACGTGTGATAACATTTGGATAAACCGCATGAACCGATGGATCACATAACTTCCATGCTCACATTAACAGTTAGCTGATTCTACTTTTGGCTAATTTAGCTTGCTATCATTATTCCTTAGGTAAACATAGTAATCTTAGTCACTGTACTAGACGACAAAATAAATCCGACTACTCACCTTATTAGCTTGTCTGTAGGAAATAAATGGATGTTGTCAGTGATGCAGTGACGAGTCCAAAAAAACCCCGGTGAGTTAGCAATTTGACCACTTCCGGTTCCCGCTCTTTTCTTCTCTTCTTCTTCTTCTTCTTAGTCTTCTTCTTCTGGTTCTTCTTCTTCTGGTTCTTCTTCTTCTGGTTCTGGTTCTTCTTCTTCTGGTTCTGGTTCTTCTTCTTCTTCTTCTTCTTCTTCTTCTTCTTCTTCTTCTTCTTAGTCTTCTTCTTCTCTTCTTCTTCTTCTTCTTCTTCTTCTTCTTCTTCTTCTTCTTCTTCTTCTCTTCTCTTCTTCTTCTCTTCTTCACTCGTCGCACTTTTATTGATGCGCAAGGTTAAAGTTCACGGGATTACGATCCGCCAGGAGT